TGTCTTTTGTGAAAAACAAAAATCCCAGTAAGTGCATATTGAGTTGTTTCTGTGAAAGATATAGTGCCTAAAAACTATAGTATATATACTGTAATTTTTATTTATTTATTTTTGCTTTTAATGGTGGTGATTAGCAACTTATAGTGGTACTGTGATAGTGCAGCGGGAAATCTGACACTAACTGATGCTGGCTGAGAAGTACACTATGTGGCATCACTAGTGACACTAATAATTAACATTTAATATCTAGGGGGTTAACTGTGTGCCTAACAGTGTGTAATCTGTGCTGCTTTTTTGCAGAATATCTGCTTGTTCCCTCTCCCTGCTTTGCAGGGGGAAAAAAACAAACAGATTGTTGCCTCTGTACAGAACCCTGTGTTGTTTGTCTGGGCTATGATTGGACACAGCCGATCTGTAGGTCTCAGCCATGAATAACATGTTGAATAAGTGGTTGGACACAGCGGGAGTCAGCCGGAAGCCACTGCCAACATACAGGTATGTGATTGTGTCGGCATGAGCTGCCCACCCACAGTATAATGAATAAAAGTAAAGAAGCAGATATATTTGACAAAATTTAGACACACAAGTCTTTCGGTCTGCTGATTGTCATTAGTTTGCAAGTGATATTCACTGCAAGTAGAATATCCCTTCCTACTCTCCCCTAAATTATAGGACCATCAGAAAACACAGAGGGGACTCAGGCAGTGTAGGCATACCTAGAATCCTGGTGTATGTGATCTTAAGTCATTGTCATGACATGTTTTTCAGATATGCCCTGGCTCCTTTTAATCTTATCATTCCAGATGTACATTTCATCAACCAACCTAGAAAATACGTAGTCCTTTAAGCACTCAGTTAGAAAAAGAGGAAGGCATTTCACCATAACCGGATTAAATGTTAAAGAAACACAAGGATAGTGAAAAAATGACTTAATTTCATCTTGCTGCATTCTTCATTAATTTGTGCAATACGGTCTAAATAGTTGTTATCATGTGTTCAGCAGGTAGCAAGAACATTTCCACACAGTGTCAGTTCTTTCATCTCTTTATAAATTACATTTGTCTAACCAGTTCCTGACCGCGCTATATCCAAAAGACGGCTACAGCATGGTCAGCTAGTTCTTGGAGGGCATGGACGTCCTCCCAGAACCACACCCCCCACATGCCCCCTGGGGTGCTCACCCTTCACGATCTGTGATCGCTGTGTCCTTTGGACACAGCTGATCACGTGTCCAAGTAAAGGGCCAATCAGAGCTGCCATTTACCATGTGAACAGTTGTGTCCAATCACAGCTGATCACAGTGTAATTAGGAAATGCCAGTCATTGGCATTTCTCTCCTCACGCTGACAGTGCACTAGGAGAGGAAAACAGGTAAGCGGCATTTCTCAGGGGGACAACTACACTGATCATCAGGGCACTGATCAGTGCCTCATCAGTGCCCATCAGTGCCACTTATCAGTGCAGGCTCATCAGTGCCATCTATCAGTGCTCATCAGTGCAGCCTCATCAGCGCGCATCAGTGAAGAAAAAAAATCACTTATTTACAAAACTTTATGACAGAAACTAAGAAAAAAATTTTTTTTTCAAAAATGTTTGGTCTTTTTTTGTTTGTTTGTTTAGCAAAAAATAAAAATCCCAGTGGTGATTAAATACCACCAAAAGAAATCTCTGTCTCAAAAAAAGATACAACTTTAATTTGGGTATAGCGTTGCATGACCGCACAATTGTCATTCAAAGTGCGACAGCGCTGAAAAACTAAAAATTGGCCTGGGCAGGAAGGGAGTAAAAGTGCTGGTAGGCAAGTGGTTAATTTAGATTATTTTCATTAAACTAAGAATGGGTTATATTTTAGTACGCTACCTCATATATATTACCACATGTAATGAGTATCAAAGTATTTAAGCTCAAAACAACAACTATATCTTTATTACTAAATAGGAATAATATGAAATTTTCAATCTTTATAGAATGGCAAAGACATAAATGTGTAGTTGGACTTTTAACATGCTGGAAAATTATATCTATGAGGACAGTCAACACAATAAAATCTGTTTATTTTTGTAGAAAATAGCTAATAAAAATACATGTAATAAGATAAAAATATCCTTCTCTATGTTGAACCCCCCATATTTTACCACTATGCTATTTCCATAGATATTCAATAGTTCAGATAGTCCATTAGTATGATTTACATTTATGGTCAGGAAATTAAGGAAAGGTTACATGTTGTGTGATGTAAAGAGACAGTGACACCAAACACTGAAGGTTTCAATCAGGTTGAAAAAATACCCCAAACAACAGGTCACAGTAGCTTTAAAAGAGGTTGCATAACAAGCTCAATTCCACCACCTTTCATAAGATTGTAGGTGAAAAAAACACTTGATCTGTTCCATTGGTTAGAGGAACATAGACCACCATGCTTCTTTGATCTTGGTGTTATTGTCCAATTGGTTATTCAATAATTAAAGTATATCAAGGCACAGAAAAAAAATCATATCTTTATAATACAAGCAATCACTCTGCATGGGACGGATGTAAGTGCAATTCCATGTTTCATACACTTTAAATAGTTTTTTTGGGCGTGCAAGGCTTCCTCTGGTTGGCCAAGGTGAAGAGGTGAGTGTATAAAGTCACAATTTCCACTACACATCACTGCTTAAAGGGGGGGGGGGGGGGGGGGGTAACAACATATTGTCATATTGTCTCATTGTCTGACTGGATGTAATAGTTTTTTTGTGAATAAAAAAAATATTTTATTCTTTTAACTCTCCTTATAGATATACTTTTTCAATGCCTTAAAAATCCTGCATTTGTAATGATTATTTTTAGATTTTTTTTGTTGATAGAGAAGAGGGCCAGAGGAGAAAAAGAGAGGGAGGTTATTAGGGCAGGCGGGTGAAGAGAAAGGAAATATGTGAGTATGCATGAGATTATAAAACAAAAGGAGAAAGGGATCCAATCCCAAGCACTCCAATGCAAAACCTTCTTTTCAGAACATTGAAGGGGTGTAGAGATGATCTGAGAGATTCTCCTTCAGCAACCATATGTCCAGTGAACATGTTCATATTTCCTCTTTGCCCTCTATTACCCCCCCTGGGGGGGCAGGAGTAAGAGTGTTTCTTATACAGTAAACCAAGTAATCCTGTCTAAAAACTGGAAAGGTGTGGTGTGAGATTGCTGGGCATGATATCTAGATATTCTGTGGTGGTCTGGTAATGAATCCAATAGGACTAAACATTATTAAACACTATCAGTCTGCTTTGGGAAGTGTAGACAAGTTCCTCCATTTCTGCAACTCTTTTGAGCTATGTAAACCAGTCCTTCAGCATTGGAATTCACATTTGTCTCCAGCTTACTGGTATACACATGTGGGCACATTTACCATATGCATAGCTAATGATTTAGGGTGGGAACATCTCAGGACTTAAGAATGGTGGAGTAAGTATTGTAGCAGGGAGAAGTCCAGGGGGTAGGTAGTGACTCTCAAATTTCCACTTGTTGCAACTGAAGCGGGTAAGCTAGGATGACAGCAAAGCTATGTGAGGGATCTGAGAGATTGATAAAGCAACTCAGGACTGCCTGTACATGCAGAGGGGTCTAGAAAATAAATGTAGGGAAAAGACCAAAAACTGAGTAAAACAATGGTAGAAATTAACCCGGGGGGGTTGTCAAGGTAATGGGCATATGGGGTGAAAATGGAGTAGATAAAGAATGTGAGAAGCTGCTAATCGGGATTATAAGAAATGGAAGAAATTATGAACTAACGGACAGTATTGATTAGGAAGAATGGGTATGAGTTAAACTATCCGCAGATACAGTGTTGTGGCCATAACATTGGGTCTGTATACCACGGAAGGGTTAAAAGATAATGGTCAATTCACTGAAGATTGCTGCATGCGACTCACTTGCATACATTATCGCATACAATAATAAAAGATTCAGTTCATCAAAGTAAAATATTGAATGTGAGGTAGATACCGCACATTTAGTAATAGTGAGATAAACACCGCCAAAAAAAAATGAGCTAAATCATTGACGTCAATTCATTAAAAAACACATGCATTCATTATTTATCACCAGGTGTTTGCTGGCAGTGTTTTAGAAATGTACAAAATAACAATTAGAGGAACTCTGCACTGGCCAGAAAGTGAAAAGTATACAATGTATCAGTGTAAAAATGTTCTCCTCTGAGCTCAGGAATAAAAATAAATTGTAACATTTCATCAGAGGAAGATTATTTTGTGAATGAAAGCATACTACAATGTTTTCATAGTTTCACAGTATTGATGTGTGCATTCTGGTGCAGGGGCGGACTGACCATTTGGATACTCGGGCACTGACCCAGGGCCTGGGGTAAGTAGGGGGCCCCATGAGATGCCCCTGGTACCTTTTTCATAGGCTTTTTTGAGTTTGGGCAAGGACACAGGGGCCCCATGATCCCCTATTGCCCAGGGGCCCCATGAATTGTCAGTCTGCCCCTGGCCACCAGCGACCTGTCATTATAGAGAATGAGGCCAACAACTGCACCTGTGTGATGATGATGATGATAAAATGTGGCTGCTGACTGTACAATTCATCATGGCCAACAGCAGGGCATGGCATGGGGGAAAGGTGGGTATGCACTTTGATCTCCCTGTACCTTTTGTGAGAATTCTCTGCAGATGATCCCTCTATGTGCTGACTCCTGCAGATTGACCACTTCCTCTGCTCTGCCACTGCCTGCTGCACTGATGATAATGATGATAGCTGCCAGCCTGAGCCTGCCTCTGTTTTGCTGCTATTTCCTTAAGACTGAGCTGCCCTCTCCTCAGCACTTACTTGCTGAAGGAAGCAGGCAGTGAGGAGGCTGATATTACTCTACCAGCAGCAGGGACTGTGAGCAAGGCCTTTAATTTTACCATTGACAAATGCGGCTCCATAATGTGGTCCAAATCAGTCTGTTTGCCAAATAAGAAAAAAAGTCCCTCTATTCTAAACCTACCAGGCATATACTACAGGAGATGGTCAGAGACTGCAGACATACTACTGGAGATAGTCAGAGATTGCAGACATAATAGGAGATGGTTAGAGGCTGCAGACATAATACAGGAGATGGTAAGAGACTACAGACATGGTACTGGATACAGTCAGAGACTGCATACATGGTACAGGAGATGGTCAGAGACTGCAGACATAGTACAGGAGACAGTCAGAGATTGCAGACATAATAGGAGATGGTTAGAGGCTGTAGACATACTACAGGAGACGGTTAGAGACTGCAGACATAATACAGGAGACGGTAAGAGACTACAGACATGGTACTGGATACAGTCAGGGACTGCATACATGGTACAGGAGATGGTCAGAGACTGCAGACATAGTACAGGAGACAGTCAGAGACTGCAGACATAGTACAGGAGAATGCAGATATTATTATTATTACTATTATTATACAGAATTTATATAGCGCCAATAGTTTGCTCAGCGCTTTACAATATAAAGGGGACAATACAGCAACAATACAGATCAATACAAGAGTGTTAGGAAGGTCCTTCTCCTTGGAGCTTACAATCTAAGAGTACAGGAGACGGTCAGAGACTGCATTTAATCAATGATGTCCTGAACCCAGTGTAAAAGTGTATAATATTGCAGGGCTGCTCAACTCTACTCACACCAGCTCTGCAAGATCAAGTCAGACATCCTCTTTACAAAGTACAACAAGTGACAGAAGGCAACGGCACTTCCAATCTTCCATTCCTATAAAACAGTTAACTGGTCAGGAGCAGTGGAGTACAATAAACAGTTAATGAATCTGTGAAGCTGCTACCCTTAACCAGCAGTAAATCCTCCAAAGCTAACATCAAACAATGTGTCAAAGATGTGTCACTAGTCACTTGTAATGCCAGCCCATCTTATCAGTGTGTTCAGGCAGTGTGCAGGTTAGATTAGGCAGTTATAAAAAAAAGAGTAAGGAGTGAGACAAGACAGAGGGGAGGCTTGTATGTATACTGTCTAACCTGCACGCTGCCTGAACACACTGATAAGATCAGCCGGCAATACAAGTGAACAGTGACACAGTTGTTTCTGATCATCTCTTCTTTTTTTTGCTCCCGGGCTTCAGGTTTTTAGCGTCTCCCCCTCCCAGCACCCCCATTCAGCCCTGATCCAGCCACCAGAATCTTCCATATACAGTCAAATGTGGTGGGCTGATTGGCTAAGGATGGGTGGGAGGAGGAGCAACTGTCACTGCATCCAGTGCAGTGTATTTGTCTTGTCACTCCACCATACGTAGATAAACAGCACTATTGGTTGCTTTACCAAGCATGTAGAAACCTGAAGCTGCCAGCTTGCTGGGCCCCTCTGTCAAAGTGACAGGGCCCAGGCCCTCTACAGGAGGCCAAGAGGTACCCCCTTATTGGCAACCCTGGATAGAGGAGAACCAGGAAAGCGCTGACTCTTGGAGACCAAGGCAGTGGAGAAGGAGTGGGTGGGTCAACAGTATCAAAGGTTGCAGTGAGTTTTAGTTGTAATAGTATGGAGTACTGGCTATTGATTTTAGCAGTTAGTAAATCATTAGAGAGTTTTAGTAGGGAAGTTTCTGTGGAGTGCTGCAAGCAAAATCCAGACTGTAACAAGTCAAAAAGGTTGTTTGCAGTGAGGTAGGTGCTAAGACAGTTGTAGAATAAGTGTTCTAAAAGTTTACAGGTGAATGGTAGCAGCAGGATAGGTCTTAAATTGTTCAGGTTAGTGGGGACCAGTAAGGGCTTTTTTTTAGTATGGGAGTGATCTGTGCATGTTTTAGGGGGAGGGAAAGGTGCCAGTAGATAGGGAGAGATTGAAGCTGTGAGAGAGCATAGGATAGAAGAAGAGGGTGACCATAGAATTTGGGAGGAAATAGGGTTTAAGGGACAACTGGTTAGGTGGGCATCTGAGAAAAGTTTGGTAACCTCTTTAGTAGTAGCCAGTTCAAAAGAGGAAAGTGTTGGCTGTGCTGCTAGATAAGACAAGTGTTAGGGTATCTGTATAGTGAATGTGTCCTCATGTATTGCATCAATCGTGTCTTTGAAGTGATAGGCAATTTCTTGGGCAGTGAGTGAGTTAGTGAGTAAAGTGGGTGGGGGACAAAGCAGAGAGTTAAAGGTAGCAAAAAACCAACAAAAACTGGATGACAAGGTGTTATAAGTGAGACAAATTAGGTTTGTTTGGCAGCATGGAGGCAGTAATTGTATTTTAGGAGGACAAATTTATGTCGGGTGAAGTCCTACAGGGATTTTGTCTTACACCACAGTTGTTCAAGAGCACAAAAACACCTCTTGATATATCTGGTCAGTTTGCCAAGTTTGTAACAGGCGGGGCCTGATTCTTAGTGTAGTTAGAAGAGCAAGTGCGTCCAGTGCGGATGAGACTGAACTGTTGTAGACATAAGTGGCCAAGTTAGGACAGGAAAGGGGAGAGATTTTTTGTCATAGAGGTTGTCAGTAGCAGAACAGAGAAGAGACGGGTTAAAGTGGCAAAGGTTTCTACAAGTAATCATACGCTGTTTGGATTGGTAGGTGATTAGAGACAAGGATACTGTGAAAGTGATGAGGTTGTGATCAAAAAGAGGAAAGGGGGTGTTTGTGAGGTTGCCAGGAGTTCAGGAATGGGAGAATACAAGGTCAAGGGTATTATTGGAGTGAGTGGAAGTGTGTGTCTATTGTATTAGGTCAAAAGATAAGGTTAAGTTGAGAAGTAGAGCTGTAGCTGGGCTGTTAACATTAACAGGTTAAAGTCAGGTTAAAGTCAAAGAATGATAGTGGGTACTTCAGATGAGAGAAAGCAGGGTAGTCAGGCAGAGAAGTCCTAAAAAAGTGATACTAGTCCAGGAGGCCAATACATCTCTGCAATCCTCAGAGAAATTGGAGAAAACAGACAAATACAGTGCACCTCAAAAGAAGAGAGGGATAGAGAGGGAGGGGTAGGAAGGAATTGGAAGGTGCCCTGTTGGGATAGAAGGAATCCAACTCTGCCTCCTTTCTGTCTGCTAGGTCTGGGTGAGTGAGTCCAGTGGAGGCCACCATGGGAGAGGGCAGCAGGAGAAGCTGAGTCAGAATCTTGAAGCCAGGTTTCAATTATGGCAAATCTGTTCAAAATAGTGTGGCTTAGGGTGTGGTTGCCATCATCCCTATTTCCATACTAAAAAGAATTATGTCTTACAACTGATGGGATTTTTAAGGCAACCACAGATTACACAAAAATTTTTTTTTTTTTAAAAAAAAACAAGAATCAGTATTTATTTATACAAGTCATTGAAAATGTATTTTGTTTTACTTATCAGCACATTCAAAATGGTCATCATTACATATTGCCAAATATAATGCACAGCAATTTTGACTACTCATTCACTTTACAAAATTATAGTTACAATATGTAGCCAGTGGTATTCCCCAAAGCTGATTTCCACTTTGCAACCTCAAAGTTTGACTGCAGATGTATTCAGCCTGGGATCCAATGCTTTTCAAATACATTAACATAGATTCTTCTTCAGCGATATGATACCACTCTACAATGATAATTATTAATAGTTAATTCTTAGCAAACATTTTTATAACTATTTAGTACTAAACCAAACCGTATGCCTTAAAAATTCCATCAAATGTAAGATATAATTATCTTTATCATGGAAAGTATGTTAAAGCAATGGGAGATAAAAAGGTCATGCACAAATGTGAGCTTGTTACAGACAAAGCAGGCATTCCAGAGGGCACATGAGATTGGGGGGTTTGTTTTTGGAAGCAGGGGGATAAAAATTAAACCGAGTAGATTGTGGTTGTTGCCAGAGGAGGAAGTGTGCTGGATATGTGGTTTGAAGTAGAAAACGGAGGGCCAGGATTGGGGGAAATGTCCTCAGAGATTAGGAGAAGGAGGGTGAGGAAAGTAAGATGGAAGCAGGATATATATAAGCACACATATTTCCTGTCCTGGTGTTTGTTACAGCATGTGGGTTCAGTATTTGAAAGAGATGATGGGTGCAGTAAAAGGGAGAGGGTAGTAGTGTGAGTAACATATATACATTATGGATAGGAGATGAGGGGTAAAGTAAGGACAATTTGAAGACAGAGAATACTGATGTGAGAAGGAGAAGTAGAGGGAGCATATTAGTGGGAATTAGAATAATGACTTTCTGTTCCTGCTTTTTTGCTACCTTTTTCCACACATTCTTCCTGCTTTGTTCTTTTTAGCCCACGCATGCAAACCATAGCCATGTTAATTTCTATGGGGAGTTAAATTTATGGATCTCCCCAAAGAAATGAATGGCGCTGAAGCACATATGTGTAGGATGGCGAGAAAAGGTGGGGAAAGCCACTTGATGAAGATCATTGAAATACAGTCAGATGGACCAAGTAAGTTGCACTCAGGGTGATAGGGGCATAACATAAGGGGGACAATTTGTAAAGGTTTTACCAAATTTGATTGTATTTAGTATTATTCCAATTCCAATTATTCCAGGTTTGATTTTAAAACTTTTGCCATTTTTTTCTCATCTCCACTTCTTATTTCAATATCATTAATTAAATAGTTTGCACATGGTGAAAACTTAACTGTGGGTTGATATGAATCACACCTGTGTAAAAATGAAGATGAATTACATCTTTATCATCAGCTTATATTGCCATCTGCTTATAATTAACATTTGGGAAAACAAAAAAAAAATACTCTATTTTAATTTTAATCAATACATTCATCAAACCTAATGTCTATCTAAATCTGTTTAAAATCTTTTGATTGAAGTGAGTTTAATTGTAACTTAATAGTTTGTAACTATATGACAACTACTAAAATATGTTTTTCTACCTTCATTGAAATCAATGTTAAAGCTAACACTCACTTTGTGTAATTTCTTTCACATGACCCATAGGGAACATAATAGAAGTTCTATTATGTGTTACTGAAGCGTGTCTTCCTGCCTCCTTGGAGAATAAGCATTGCAGAAATGCTGATTATCAGGCAAAAAAAAAAAAAAGACATTAAGACACCCTTGCATAGTGAGCAATTAAAGTGTTTATATAGCCGCATATTGTTTTAGTTTTGAATAGATAAGGGAATGTTAAAAACTTCTTTCAGTGTATTTTTTGCTATTTATGTTCCATTGTCTATAATTGTCTGCACACCACAGAGTGAATAAAAATCTCTACAAATGAAGGAAATTCCTCTCTGAAACAGTTGTCAACTATAGGGATATGCTTCACGTTCAGGTTGAACATGGGCTTGCAGCAAACCCAACCCATTTGTGATTTGCAGACCCAATGAACTAACGAGGCATTCATCTCCATAGCATACAACTACCAATACTGCACTTCCTAGTCTCTGAACTTGGTTCAGTTGGCTTGTAATGGCAAATAAAGGGTCTGTCTTATGTGCTTTGC